TAAATCTAAAATTCTGCCCCCAATGCACATACTAGATTTCATTCCAATGTTCAATGGAGATACCTTGTTGGGGGGGGAGGACCAGACAGAACCCGAAATGGGGGAGTCGAAAGCTTAATATTTCTCAGCCAATAAAACCCCTTTTTGCTCCTTCTAGTTACTAAAGGGAAGCAACTTTGTGCAAATTGCTTAAACTCCCCCCCCCCCCGTCTATAGAATAATGTAGTTCAGAATTGTTGCAGGGGAGGGCTTTTTGTAAAAAGTATCGCTTCTGAAACTTGCCACAACTTTCCAGGTGTATATATGCTTTGAACATCCAATCTCATGCATATATCTTACCACACATTCCTAGACATGGTGACTTATAAATAAGTCTTTCTATGGCTACATACACACTTTTCTTTCTGTAAAGAGTGGGTACTTAGTAGTACTCATTTTTTCAACATAGTCCACATACAACCTATTGCATATTTTCCACCCCTGAAAGGTGCTTTTTGAGAAACTAGAATCATTCAAAAAATGAAAGTTCATTGTACACTGATTCTGCCTTGCCCCACAGCGTGTCCATTAGAAAACAGATGCAGGTGGCTCTGCCAATGCAGGGGCCATATCCGCACCTGTCCAATGGTGTTGTGGATGGGTGTGTAGCAAGATTGTGATCACTACTTCATTCTTCATTCATCTGGGGCCTGTGCAAGGAGGAAAATGTATGAATCAATGGGAGGGTTTTCAGACATGTCTCAAGTAACCACACATACCCTTGTAGACAGCAAGATCTAGAATCAATCTAGATCCAATCTAAACCCAGTGAGATGGGCATCATCATCATCTTCATCATCATAACAACAACAGCGACATGTTGAGGACAAGCATGAACAATTTCCGACTGACAAAAACTACTTTTTTGTCCTACAATCAGGTTAATGCGTATGCAGCCTAAATCCAATGTGGCTTACTCCGTGGTACATTTAGGATTGCAGCTTAAAAGCACAATTCTATATGTGTCTCCTCAGAAGTAAGCAGTGCTTGGGGGAAAGGGTCTTTCTCACAGGTGAATCACTGTGGGATCACAATCTATGAATGTTTGGATAGTCCACTGTGCATTTATTTAAAACACTTGTGCTGAATTATTAACAGACACCGAAAGGATCCGATTGTTACGGCAGAGAAATATTAGCTTGTGGGGAAACTGAAACAAACCACTGCTGTTGTTCCATTATGCATACTTTGGGAATGGTCTTGCTCTGTGAAGAAATATTTAGGTGAAGATGGATAAAGAAAAGCAAATTGCACCATCTGCTGGCCAATTCTCATTCAACAGAGAGGAAATAAACGGAAAGTGCCAGAGGCCAAAAAGAAATAGGGGGGAAACCCTGGTGGTGGTTTCTACATGGGTGATTCTGATTTTGGGCCAGACTCCTAGCTAAGGCTGCCTTTCTGCCAGTGCTGTAGATGCAAGCATAGAGAAAGCTTTCTGAGCAGATCAGACGTACCTTGATTTCAGGATGCAATACTTTCAAGACCACAACTTGAAATCGCAGGAGACAAGCGATTGCTTTCACAGAGGCATTGGTTGCTGATATTTGAGCAAGGCAAATCTGCTTCACTCTATTAACTGCTTTACTGCACATTGTGACTACTTAATACTGTGTGTGTGTGTGTGTGTACATACATACATACACACAGAGAGACACAAATTAATTTATTTATACCAACTACAACTAGTTAAATGAAATCAGACAGAAAGCTAGATAGCCTTGTGAGCCCATTCAAAACAATTTGGAAAAGAACAGTAGGGTAACGTAGACCAACTAAACAGCTGACAGTGAGCAAACTGTCTAGTTCATCAATACTCTTCATCAGGCTAATTGTTTATGTGCTTCATCACATCCACATTTTTTTAAATTCAATGCATTGTCAGAATATTATGAGGAGATGGGCTTTTGATTACATTCCAGTGATTGCCTGTATGATGACAACACTCCCATTTGTTGTATCAACTGTGCAACATATGTCTTTACCAAATAATATTTTTATATAAAAAAATGAGGAAACCGCCTAAACAAAGGAGAGGGTCAGAAAATTTGATCATGCACTAGACATACCGACTTCATTACAGAAAATCTTAAAATTTATAAAGTGCTTGACTGAAAAAAAATAAAACCAAAAGGACCTCAAAGTTGTTTACTAAGAGACTTCAATAATTCCTGCCACAGTGCCTTCTTCCAGTTACTTGTTCAGTAATCAGAATAATATTGCACGCCTGTCCTAGCTTACAAACCATTAGAGGCTTTTGTGCCTAGTTAAGAGAAAATAAACTAATTTATCAAAACAGTCTCAACTTGGACATAACCTCTGACATAATGCAGACAGTGATAAAGTGAAAGGGACAATTGAGAACAAATGCATTTGTCAATTTATGCTGCCTAAAGATGCTTCATCTTCCAAGAGCTGGAGCACTTTGAAGAGCTTTCTAATCCACAGGATGACTTTCTGTGGTTTCCACTGGTTACTTCTGACAACATGGATGTTCTGTTTTCTCTTCTATTGTGGGGTCTTTCCCAGACATCTTTTAAACAGACCGGCATGGAGAAAAATCCAGACCACCACCAATTAAATGCACAGGTGGCAACCGAGGACATCTATCTAACTATCTCCTTATATTTAAACATTCTGACCGCATTCACGGAGTCCCCATCTTCTGCAATGTGTTACCTTTCTGTAATCAGTTTCTAACTCTCAGCATTTTAACAGAAACATCCTGAATAAACACTGATAGGAGCTTCCCGGTGGAGTCGATCAATTGCTAATGCAAACACAAAACCTGGCAGCCTTCCCACACACTTATGAATATTAGATTGAGGTCCTCCTCGGAAATGCTGAGCTTCTAATCTTCCAGCACAGCACTGCATCACCAAACATGAAGCAGAGGAGCTCCAGGAGATACACTCTTCACAAGAGCTGTTCCTCTTTGATGGTCCTTTTCCATTTGTGGGACGTTTTGTACACAGGATGTATTAACAGATATGCAGCTTAGCCACAGAGTAGTTGAGGGGAAGGGAGGCACAAATTTCTTGCTGTACAGTAAGATTTCATAATGGTATCTCCGGTGAGGATGCAGCTCTCTTTGGAATGCTAAAGTTGTGTGACAGAGGGCAGGCTCTGGGTTTTCCAGTCACTTTGTTCCCTAAAGCATATATGTTAGTTTCTAAATTCTACATCCAGCAGATAAATACATCATCTTCCGACTGCCTCGTACCTTTTCTCAACATATTCTGCAGCAGTTGGGTATCACATATTTGAATGTTGCCCCCTCCATAAAAAGTCACCTTTCTGTGTTGCATTGTCAGGAAGAAAGTTATATTAGAACCTGTTCTGCCTGACTCGCTATCCTTTCTACAAGTTTTTAATGTTGGGAAGAAATTCTACATGAGATCTCCACACTTGCCTCATGAAATGCACTTTCTTAATTGGTGGGTTGGTCCTTAGTAGTTACTGCAGTGTGAAATACGCATGGTGTTTGAAATCACATTAACTATTAAGAAGATATTCAAGTGCAACAGAGCATCATCTTCTAAATGCTTGCATTGTAATGGGAGTTTGAGAAGGAGCTGTTACGGGCTCACAGTTTGTGAGCTAATTTTCATCCCTTGAAATGAATACTAGGTAGCTTTACTATGAAAATGAGATTCTAAAAGGCAATGATACTGTAACCCCAGAGAAGAATGGCAGCAGATGGGGCTGACCAGTCCTTGTGGGCTATCATTCTGGGTGCTGTTCCTTAGCAATGGTACCCAGGGTGCTAATTTAAAAACTGCTCAACCTAAATAAGTTGTGTGGACCTACCATTAGCACACATCAATTACCTTGTTCTGGTCACAAAGAGTGGGGGCAAGGTGGGTTAGGTGTTTCAGCACCAAGGAGAGCTCCTAGTGAGCAACTTGCTCCAACTAGAGATGCAAGGGAACTGAGACCATTTAGTCTCTGTCTTCAGGCCACCTTTGCTATGTTCTACTCCCTTTGTTGGAGTGCTGGAGTCTCTTAAAGGGCCAATCCCTCTGTCCTAAAAACTGGCACTTCTCCTACACTCTGTGTTCTCTACACTGTTTGACTGGCAAGGTAGTATGGGAGGCACTCTGTTCTTTAGGCCTGTGGGAAGGAGCTCCTGAGGGTCCATCTGCCTCTGGCTCTGATTTTACATGCCCCTGTGCTGTGAGACTCAGTTCAACAGTCCCCTTCTTTCCAGCCCCATGTTTACGGGGTCCCTGATCACCAGTTGAACCAGGAACACTGTCTGATTCCTCACATGGTCTCATTGTAGCCTCTAACTCTGTGTCCTGGTCCCTTCTGGACTCCAGGGTCATTGGACCATAAGCAGTTAGAGGTGTATGATTTCTTGTTATAATTTATTCTGATCTTCCAAATAACCAGTACAGTACTCAGTTTCACCTCCAGTAATATAAACCCTTGCTATTTGGCCTGAGCTGTTGAAATAAAGTGATTTGCACTTTTCTTCCGTCAGGCATCTGAGATATTCCCTACTATGCAGAAAATAAGCTTCACTTACATCCACCTGTGTATAATCAGATCAGCTCCACAACCACAGAAAGAAGTGGTTTAAAAAGCACAGCTTAGTTAGATGATCCAGAAGGCAAATCGGTGCAAGCGTTCCTGGTATCTCCTCCCTGCTGTTCTCAAGGCCACAGTGACTTTAAAATATATATGTATAATATACTGCTCCTCTTCTCCAATCTTTTGATCATTTTACCCAGATGATGAGGATTTATGTCTCCATGCTCATATTTGACAACAGCCACCAAAATGCTAGTCTTCATTTGCATGACCATTTGCAAACTTTGGGCTGTACCCAGGGTAGCGCTAACTTAAAGTCACTCTACAGTATGCTGGTTCTGCTGGCAAAATCATAGAATCATAGAATTGTGGAGTTGGAAGGGACCATGAGGGTCATCTAGTCCAACCCCTGCAATGCAGAAATCTTTCACCCAACATGGGGCTCAAACCCATGTCCCTGGGATTAACGGTCTCATGATTTACCAGTTGAGCTATCTCAGCCTTAATGTTTTATGCCAGTGGTGCGAGAGACTGCAAAGCAGGTTGCTGGGGACTTTGCTGCACATCAGAACAGCCAAGAAAGGTGTAAAGTTACAATACAGCCTGCAAAACCTCAGTGCCATTACAGACACTGGTCAGACACTGCAGCAGGGAGAGATTGTCATGGCTTGTCCAGAAAGTGCTATTATGTTAAGCATTTCTTATACACAAAACAGAGAACGTCAGTTTGTCCAGAACCTCCTCTCAGTCCACCTGACCAGTGAAGGCAGAGGCGGCAGACATTCAAACCTTAAAGATGGCTCCCTTCTTTAGGCCAAGAGCTCAGCATCAAAGCCCACAGATAAGCATAACACCAAAGCAAGCCACGTAGAATATACCAAAGGAAGTGCATAAACGTTTGTGAGCCCATTGCTGCAGCAACTATCCATTAGTCTTGGGGTTATCTTGACTACCAAGGTGGTGTCTGCAGGCCTTCTGGAACATTTTCACCATTTGGCTCTGCACAGTAACCCACTCTGGGACCTTATAGTGAAAGACAGGTGAGAAATATAATTAAATAAATAAAGCAATTACTTTTTAAAAAAGTGTTACCAAAGGTGCTCCCAGGCTGTTGCTATTCTGGGGTGGCAAATTCAGACCGCACAATATAGTTGATTGGGACGTCTCGTGCAACAAACCGCTTCCCCAAAAATATAAGACTTTTTGCAATAAGGATTTGGGAATGCAACAGAAAGTGTGGGATAGCATTTGCTTGATGCAGTGTCGTCTAACCTCCCCACAAACCATGGGGGATGCTGTTCATATAGTCTTTTTTTCCCTTCCAGCAAATCAAGATGAAAGCTCGATAGACAGGTTGGCTGGAAGTACGCACTAAAATCCTGTCCCACCCCTCTAATCTCCAGAACAGTTTTGCACTTCGAAAACATGTTATGAATGAACGCTTGTGTGTTTTCTTTCTTTAAAGGCAAATAATCTGCCTGAAGAATGGGGAGAAAGGAATGACTGGTTGCCGAGCTAATGTTCAATATGCTGGCATGCACATACTCCATTTTACTTGCAAAGCAACAATTTCAAATGGCTGTGCTTGGATCAGAGCCTTAACCTACAATCTTAAACATTCCTAGAATCATACAATTGTAGAGCTCAAAGGGACCGCAAGGGTTATTTAGTCAACCCTTTGCAGTGCAGGAATCTTTTTGCTCAACGTGGGGTTTGAACCCACAATCCTGAGTTTAAAAATTTCGTACTCTACCCACTGAGCTGATTTTTTACTGAGGAGTAAGCCACACTGACCATAAAGAAGGCTGATCGCCGAAGAATTGATGCTTTTGATTTATGGTGCTGGAGGAGACTCTTGAGAGTCCCATGGACTGCAAGAAGATCAAACCTATCCATTCTTAAGGAAATCAGCCCTGAGTGCTCACTGGAAGGACAGGTCGTGAAGCTGAAGCTCCAATACTTTGGCCACCTCATGAGAAGAAAAGACTCCCTGGAAAAAACCCTGATGTTGGGAAAGATGGAGGGTACAAAGAGAAGCGGACAACAGAGGACGAGATGGTTGGATAGTGTTCTCGAAGCTACTAGCATGAGTTTGACCAAACTGCGAGAGGCAGTGGAAGACAGGAGTGCCTGGCATGCTCTGGTCCATGGGGTCACGAAGAGTCAGACACGACTAAACAACTAAACAACAACAAAGCCACACTGAATAAATGGTGGTGATCTGTTAATTTCAGTTTCTCTCAGTGACTCATTTTCCAAATCTTAAAATTCAGTTCTCCCCATTTGCACATCGGTTTGCAATTATTATGAGTCCTTGTGAATATTCAGCCACATTTTTCGTGTGAATTTCTCCTAATGTACACATTTTTGCATTCAGTCTCCCCTAATGTAGACATTCTCCCACCCCCTAATATAGTGCATGTTTGCAAGTTACTTTTTCCTCATATATGCATTTTATCCACACTTTACCTTGGAATGTGCATTTTTGTACACATTAGTATATTGCTAAATTTGGAAAAGTGCAAATTTCAAAGGACGGTTCATAGATGGTTCCAGAAAGTGTGGGGTAAGTTAGGATTTAGCCACACTTACATTTCCTCCACTTTTTCCAGAAACTGTCTGTGCTTTAAAGCTCCATGTCTGAGCACACACACCCCGAGCTTTCCCCAAGAAAACTCACTCTCTAAATCTCAATCAGAGCAAACAACAATCCATGGAAGACTTGAATTGCTGTTTGCTCTGACTGAGTGCTAAAGAGCAGATTTTTCACAGGGAAGCTCCAGGGCAGAAAAACAAACAAACCAATGCTTGGATGCAGAGCTTTTAAGCATGCATCTGCATCTGGAAAAGTGGAGAAGGGGGGGGAGTGTGGAAAAGCCCACCTTTAAATGCAAAGTGAATTTAATTTCTTCCCTATCTTTACACTGAACACAGTAGAACTTAATTCCAAATAAACATGCATCATTAGTTTGGACACAGAGCGAGGGGAGGAAACCCTCTTGTACTTTAAAAACAAATGGATAACAAGCACACATTACCCAAGGAAGATACAAAATCTGTTTCCACGTAGGTGTTTTAAAAGGAGACTGCAGGGGGAAGATCCAGAACCATTAAACACCAATGGGAAGCTTATTGTTTACTTTGAGGAACAAGCATTGCATGTCTAGTTGAGCAGATAATCTGGGATGCAGTTTAAATGCCAGAATCACTGCTATTGCAAGTGGAAGAGCATATAAACTCCCTGATAATGCTATTGTGTTTTGCTAAACGGGAAGCTGTTGAGATAAAACTGTGCTTCAGTTCTACTAAGGCAACACTGTGTTGTTCCTCACAGTAGCACTGTGACCTGCTGTTGGGAAACAGCTTCAAGAAAGCAATGGCAAGGAGCTGTTTCCACATTGCCTCGCAGTACAATCCCACTGTGAACCACACATCAACTGACAGAATGGACAATAGCAGCGATACTTACATGCAAGGTGTTGCACTGCTATTTTCCTGGCTGCTCCATTCTAGGCTGCCTGGCAGCAACTCATTTGGAAGCAAATGCAGCTGGGCTGTAACATAGGAAGCTGCCATTTACTGAGTCAAGCCACAGGTCCATTGAGGTGGGTATGGTCTACACCAGGGTTTCCCAAACATAGATCTCCAGCTTTTTTGGACTACAACTCCCATCATCCCTAGCTAGCAGGACCCAGTGATCAGGTATGATGGGAATTGTGTGTTTTTTAGGTTTCTTTTAAAATTAAAAATAAATTAATTAATTTTTCAAGTTAAAATTTTACAGAAATATATCAGACCTAAATCATAAAAACAAGATTCCAAGGAATCTCCTGGATTTCCATCCTCCCATTTGTGGGTCCTATTATTAATCATTTCGTTCAGCATCTTTTCTGATAATCCAAATCTTCTACATCTCCATTGTGTCCAGAATTAACCCTTCAACTACAAGTGATATTCCAATCCTACTGAGGATTTTAACGGTTTACAATGGTCTTTAAGATATGTTATAAATTTTCCCCATTCCTTATTAATATTTTGGTCTTCCTGATTTCTGATTCTTCCGGCCATTTTAGCCATTTCAGCATAGTCCATCAACTTCATCCGCCATTCTTCTCTGGTAGGAACGTTATCTTCTTTCCATCTCTAGGGCAATAACATCCATGCAGCCATGGTCGCATACATAAATAGTCTTTTCTGCTCCTTTGGGATTTCGGCACCTAGAATTCCTAAAAGGAAGGCTTCAGGGGTTTTTTAGCAAAGTTTTTTCAACTCATTATATATCATTTCCCAAAGTCCTTTTACTACCTTACAATTCCATCACGTATGATAAAAGGTACCTTCTTTTTCCTTACATTTCCAGCTTACATTTGAGCATGTAGGTATGATGGGAATTGTAGTCAGCTTGAGACCCGAGTTTGGGAAACCCTGGTCTACATTGACTGGGAGCTGCTCTCCAGGATTTCAGCTGTCTACCAGCCCGACTTAGAGATGGTGGGAATTGAACTTGTGACCTTCTGCATGCAAACCAGATGCTCTTCCACTGAGATACAGCCATGGTACAGCGACACAAGGACAGGCAGATTAACACCCTCCGCCAAGACTGCTCAGAGGCATCCTGGTGTAGAACATCTGGAATGGGCCAAGCCACTAGTGGTAAGGTGAACCCCTGGTGCTGCTGTGAACTGAGTACACAGGCCTTCAGCAACAGGAGCAGATGGTGAGCAAGATTAGTGCCCTCTAAGGCAGGGGGTTGGGGGATGAGTTAGGGTCAGAGTCACCGAGTTGCGCCCAACACTGGGGAGCCATAATGCATGCGTGATGTCACATGCACGGTGCACAATGTGTGTGCCACCACCCCCTAACCCACCCAGGACAACTCGGTCTACCTTCTCCCACCCACTGCCCGCCACCTTACCTTTGTTTGCTGCTGCTGCTGCTGCCAGGCTGAGGTCACCTTGGCAAGACCCTGGCGATCGTCAAAGGGACAAGCCAGGATGAAGGACCACTCAATGTTGAGGTGGCTGGGTCCGCTGCCAACAGATATTGAGGGGACCGAAGACACCTTGGCCCCCTGGAGTTGGTGCACCTGGTTAGGGCCCCCATATCAGCCAGACCTATAATTTCCCAGCCTGAAATTATTCTTGTCCTACATTTTTTCAACAAAAAACCAACTAAGGAAGAAAGCTGAATGAGAGATAAAGACTGAACAAGTGTCCCAAAAGTTATACTGTACCATAATTATCAAGGTGACCCAGTTTACAATGAGAAGACCTACAGGTTACCTGGAGGTGGAAATAAAAATAGGTATGCTGCGTGCATATTTCCAGATACTCGCATAATTTAAGGACAAGGGCAGTTCAAATGAAAGAACAAGCAAGCAACGTATCACTACATCGTTGACATTCTCTCGCGCACACACACGGGACAACAAAGTTTGAGAGTTGCCTCACAAACATGGCAGCTCACGGAAGTGGGGGTTGGGGTCTCAGTATGGGCACCAGGGTAACATTGATACTGCTGCACCAGTGCTTTCCCCCTTCTCTTGCCCTAAAATAGCTTACACTCAAAACTGCAGCTATGTGAGTTTATTTGGTGGGGTACAGAGTTCTTTGCAGCTCCTCTGATCCCTGGGCCTCTCCTTCCTGGCTTATTTCACTCATGCCTTCAGCTGTAGTTCATCCCACTAAAGGGCCTGTAAAAGCTTCACACCAAGGACCAGATCGAACAGTGACAGTGTGTTTAAAAATCACCTCACAATTCTTGATATCAAAGCCACGTGAACAAGTATGGAAGTTTCGTGGGTTTGGGAGAGAGGGCAGGGGGAGAACATTTGCCTCTCCCTTGCACTTTTGGGTGTTTGTAGGTATGGATGTACACGTGGATGTTTTTTTGAGAGTGTGCATGAGAGAAAGGATGGCCTCACCACTTTTTGAATTATCCCCACCTACCACTGACAGGCACCCCTTAGAAGGTTAGTCATGAGGGGAATACAGTCCTTGGGTTGAGGAAGGTCCTCCACCTGCTGCTCTACAGTTCAAGTTAGAGAAATATTACTATAACAGGTTAGGAAATAGTCACTTCTGATTTTTTATGTCTTTCTCCTTTCTCCTTTTGCGATTCCATTCTTAGGGTTCTGACTGACTGAACCTGAGACCTTTTACGTGCTCAGACCCTCCAAGTGTCCCTATTTTCCAGGGATGGTCCGGTATATACAAGAAGCCGTCCCACTTTCTGATTTGATCTCAGAATGTTCCTGTTTTCCTTAGAACATCCCTATTTTTACTGGAGGAATGTTGGAGGGTAAGGAGTTATGCTCCTCCCGAGCCAAGGAGATAAGTAACCATGCAATGTTTAGAAGACATCTGAAGGCAGCCCTGTATAGAAGTTTTTTTAATGTTTAATATTTTATTATGTTTTTATATATGTTGGAAGCAATCCAGTAAGATGGGTAGGGTAATAGTAGTAGTAGTAGTAGTAGTAGTAGTAGTAGTAGTAGTAATGGAATAGGATGTCCCTACTTTCATCAGAGAAATGTTGGAGGGCATGCAGGCTGCATCGCTAACTCAGGGCCTTTGATCCTTCCACAACACTACAGGATGTACACAAAGTAAAACAGAATAACAGACCTGCACGAATCTCATTTATTCATTTATATTTCACATCCAGAGCTAGTTAGTTCTCCCTACAAAGTGAAGAGATCAAGTCGCAGGTGGCAGACTTCGGGGACCATTACAGGGCAGCAAATTGTCCATTGTTTATCTATTTACTCTCTACCTTGGGAGTAC